AAAAAAATAATAGTCCAACACCCTATATAAAAAAGAAAATCACTCGTTGTGTTCCTGCAGCGCAATGGGTAGCGCGTTGGACTGAAACCAAAGGTCGTGGGTTCAAATATACCACCTAGAACGGCCTAGTTTCTGAAAAAAAAGTGATTTTTTTAATTATACTATTTTATTGAAATAATTAAATTTAATTAATGAATCAATAGTAACAAACAAAAATAATATTCCAACATCATTAGAAAGAAAAATTGATTTTTTTTTTTTGCCACTTAACATTGTGATTCTGTGTCCTATGCATATACATATTTATATTAATTGTAATTATTTAATAAAGAGTAACTAAAATAAAATTTTTCTTTGTTGACCTAAGTAGAAATTGACTAATTTTTTTTATTACTAGTTTCCGTTAATAATTTTCACCTCCGTTAGCATAAAGGGCATGCGAACTCGTGACTCGTGGTATTTTTGTGTAGTCGTGGGTTCGAATCTTGGTGTCATTAAGGGACTTTCGTGTAGAGGATCGGACGCACGCGCGTTAAATCTGTTGAGGCTCAGAGTACTTAAAAATGTTCGTGGTATTTGGAATTTTGAGGAGTGGAATTTCAGTTCAGGTGTCGTTCTCGTCATTTGACTGTGGTTCAAATCACGATTTTCGTCACCAATAGCCCTTGTATTTATTCGTAGTGTCTGAAAATATAATAAACAGCTTCACACATACTCTTTAATTTTGTCCGTTTATATATTTATGTATCAAAACATTACCGAATTCCAGAAAATACTGGAACGTTTATATATATGTAATACCTCACTTGCAAATTAATTGAAACAGAGTAAGTGGCTGTTATAGCAATAAAAAGGGTAATAAAGAACAGTCATTTTTTATTTGAAATATCTGTGGGATATTTTAAGTACATCTTTTCAAAGTTATCTAAGTCATCATGTTATTGAAATTAAGGATGTAAATAAATTGATAATATTAAAAAAAACTATTTTCTATCCAATGATGCAAATAAAAATAATATAAATAAATATTTTCCTTTGAAAATGTATCAAATCATATTTAAATACGCTTAGAAGTTGTTCGCACAATCTTATATAAGTAAAAAAAAGAAGTGTACTTAAATTTTAAAGTTGACTAATTCTAAAATTGATTTATATATTCCGTTGTACATCACATCCATAATTAATGAAATAAAACTTGTAAAAAAAAGTTATTTAAAATACATCAATAATAACAATGCCATTGCATAATAAATGTTATATTATTGATATTACAAAAATCAGTAACATATATTTATATTTTAGTTTACATTCATAACAAACGAGTGATGTTTTAAAATGCACGTAATTTTAAAACAAATTATTTATAAGAAGGTAGTTTTAACATGTTTTTTAATGGTATAATGCACTATATTATTATACATAACTTAAAATTTTTACTATATAGCGCAATACTTAGTAAAAGGGAAATAGAAATAGAGCTGCACTTATATGTTCAGCATAAATTCTTTTTCTTAAGAGAAAGTTTGGAAATATTCTATAAATCTTTCTTTTTGCTTGCAATGAAAAATAAAATTGCAATACAATCCATAAAAAGTTCCCCTAACTCAACAGTTTCTGAATCAAAAACGTTGCTAAGCAAACAGAAGAAACATTAGAAAACTCACTACTAAATGCACATGGTTTTTTTTTAAAAAAGAAAACATAAGATTTCGAGATTCAAGAAACATATCGTATTATTTTCCTTTTCCATCTAATAAATATTCTAACTGCAGGGTCTGAAATAGTTCTATATCGATTGCCAAACTCAGCGAGTTAAACTTTCTTCTGAAATTGATCCGTTTTTGTTTTTGTTGTTTTTTAGGGGAAAAAATGTAAATAATTTAATGCAAGTATACAAATTCGAAATATTCGATTTTCTCTCTCTCCTTTTTTTTTAAGAAAAAAAAAAGAAAAAGCAAGTTATGAGATGGTGGAAAAGAAAAAAAAAACTTTTCTTTCTTAAGAAAAAAGAATGTTACAGAAATGTGAGCTACCAAGTACGAAATATCCCATATATATGGAGATGGCATCGTACCTTGTGTGTGGTTGAGACTTCGAATATCACGAAAAATATTCTTTCCAATTTGCATTTAAATTGATGAACAAGGATTGATAACAAAACACGAAAAGTTTTGATACAATTTTTGGTTTTCCGATGTGTGACTTTTAATGTACGAAAAGATTTAAGAAATATACATCTTGGTTTGAAGCAGTGATAGAAGTTTCAAGTATTAACAGGAAAATCTATAATAATTCTGTGTTTGTTAATTATGTTAATTATTATTGATCATTAATATAATTTCTCCTTTGTATACTTCTTGAATGCAGAATGTTCAGATAATTTTATTGAGCTAAAAATGATTCAATTATTTTTTTTAAAGTCATTTAAAAATTTACGTCTGCTAAAATTATTATTCAGGAATTGTCCAATAAATAAAACTGTTAAAATTACTTTATGTGCATTTATGAAAAGGATCAGAGAAACACACAAAAAATTTCTATCCAGAATCAATGTATCTTTTAAATCGATGAAAATTTGAACAATATAAATTCTTTTTAAAATAGTAACAACTTATATCTTTGTGAGTTTTCAAGATCATTAAGTAAGAAGTATAAGAAAAGTTATGGAACAACAAATACATGTTCATTAAGAATAACATGTATGCCATTAAAAATGAAAGATATAGATCATTATACACCTCTTAAACCCAATTAGAAATAATTTTATCAAACTGTTAGGAGGAAACATAATTTATTAAATAAAATAGTTTTTTTTTAAAAAATATTTGAAGGCATGAAAAAAAATTCATTTTTCACTAACATAATAACGGAAGCATTCATACCAAAGCAAATATGAATTATTTGCTTTATCAAAACACTGAATGGCTACTGTGATTCGAATTCTCATTTCGCAGTGTCACTAGCTGAAGATTAGTAAACCATGTTTTTCACGTATCCCTACTATAAGATATCTAAAGGTGATATGTCTAGAGATCTGGGTGGCCACGGCATTGGACATGCTCTTTCTATCCATGGCAGGGGAACTTTTTCTCGCTTCCAAACTCTAGTTTAGTAATGGACCATTTACGCTGTACATGTGTTGTAGATTTAAACTCTGTAAGCCATGCTATAACTTGCGTTTGTTCTTGTTACGAAGCTAATTTGAAACGAGAATGTCTAAAAGTAGGGATGTTGCGCGATCTAGTTTGTATTAAACTAGACAGAAACTTTAATCTTTTCAATATGGAACATAAAAAACCTTAGATAAAAAAATCTATGTTTATTTATTTGTAATTTATTTTTGAAGTGTAGTCATACTCTTTTAGAAAACCCTATTTAGTTTTTTAATATATTTTCCCAAGTGACTCGAATTTTGGAGGAAATCTACAATGTCTTCTTAGAAATAGTGTAGCGGATCAGATCACACACACACACTAAGTTATTTAAGAAGTAAAGTTACACTCGGACAGGGTGTAGGTTTTAAAATAAATTAATTTCTTCGCAATCAATTGATCAAAACATAATTATATTCGTAGATTGATTGAATTAATCTCGTACCCTAATAAAAACTAACTTTAATCATCGTTTAAGAATATCGTTGCGCTGCTTTCTTGGTTTCTTGCTGTCTCCTATTAGCTTTATTCAAGGCCCTTTTGCAAGGTTATCTCTTGATATTAACCACATTCTTTTATCTCCCTACTGGCAACTGCCGGTACATCCCTCACACATACTTGGGATATATCCCTCCCCCTCTTCTCTCTCTTCCTCATTTCAGACCTGTTAAAATAGTAATGCCTATTTAAATGTATCACGTTTCCTTCACAAGGTCAGGATCTCAAACAAGTTGTGAGAGGTCCTCACCTCTTTCTTGGGCACCTACATATGCAGGAGGTAGGGACGAAACACTCGCCGCAATCCAATCAATCTATTTATTGATCCCACAACAAAACGACACAAATTCAATTAACAGTAAGAGAATGTCTCGGTGCTATCCGCGAAAGGGGAACAACGACGTAATACACTAAAGATTAGGAGACTATCAAACTCGATTCTTACTTTATATAGGATCTAATCTATTATCCGATTTAATCTAATGTTAATTTAATCTCAGTGATCAATCGTCACTTAAAATCTTTCTCCTAATAAGTATTTATTCACAATAGTTCAATAATGATACATGTCAGTAACAATCTCACCTGGCACTTCTGGTTTACATCCACTTCTACTCTAATATAGCTAGAAAACCTCGATTATATATAGTAAACTTAATTTACATATCACGGTTTCTTCTTCGGAAGGGTTGGTTGTAAATAACGTGAATTGATAGCCTATAGATTTCCCAAGAGGGTTAAAGAAAGATAGGCGAATAGATCCGACACAAAGTTAGTAAAAAAAAATACACCAAGATGTTAGCTTAACCCATTAACTAGATTGCCCGTACACTATACGGGCTACCGAAAGCTGATCAAAACTGGTTTGCCTGTACGCTGTACGGGTCCAGATATTTTCTTTTTTTTTCTAAATTTGGTTTGCACATATTTTCACTTCTTATAGTAAGATAATTAATGCTAGGGTTTTTAAGAGAGGCAGTTTGTCCATGGTATTGAAATACTCCTCATCCGGGATTTTCTGTGTGGTGAAGGTCGAAAGTTTTCTTTGACGGCAGGAATTTACATTATTGAAAATATTCGAGAAACAAGTAGCATAAAAAATTTTTTTTCAAGTCTCAATTCCTACTTAGATCAACAAAGAATTAAACGTGAATTTAAAACGTGAGAAAAAAAACCTTTTCAAGTTTTGGCACAAGTCACCAAAATGGTTGCTAAGTGGCCCAAAATGATGCCAACGTGACTGTATTTATAATTCTTTAAATAATTAGTTTCAATCAATTAATTTTCATTAATTGTAATTAAATTATTGTATTGTCATCCAAAATAATCATGTATATAAAATTTCAGACAATGGAGCGCTTTAAAATGCATTTAATTAACGATTGAAAATTCCACCAAGATAAATAAATAAATATATAGAGAGTGTGAGATAATAGTAGGAATTGAATGATAGGGATTGGAAAAGCAATGTGC